ATAAATATAAACCTACTTCGAAGATACTGGCTGTATAAATTTGCAATTGTATGTAATTGTACAAAATTAAATATTTTGCCACATCATGTAATATCATGATATTTTTTTACATTCTAATAGGCCAAATGTTACTTGGATGAAAATAGTATCTTTCAAACTATATTATTTTAAATCCTGATTTCAGGTAACTCTAGCCACTTTTGGTGTATACGTCTTATTGTCGACAGAGAATGTTTTCGATGCCCGAAAAGTATTCGTATCGCTGGCCCTCTTCACAATCCTTCGCTTTCCACTTCTTATGCTGCCCCTCGTCATTAGCAATCTGATACAGGTAGCTTTATTTCCCGCATTTTAATGGGCATTCTTCAAATTCTTTCTAAAATTTTATCATATTTTAGTTTAATCGTAGATAGGAGGACTGAGGTGTATACAAGTTGTTTGATCTGGTGTTGTCATATTGTCAGGGATACCTAGTCGCACGCACCTTGTCCGAAGTTCTCTGCTATAATATCTACATTACTTTCTAGCTTCGGACCGTGGACTTGGTATGTTGATATACGTTTCGCTGGCATCGCAGTCGGTATCTTCAGTGATTATTGCCATTCTTAGCACCACGACTCAACTCATCAAAGAGACAAATGATGTCAATCCTTCATGAACCCGAAGAAAAATTGTATGAAATAATGAAGTTTATAAATCTATTGATGAATGGATCAATTTCAGAATGTAAGTAGCTGAGGAGGGTCAATTAGCTTCCCTGGATGTCGAAGTCATCCGCTCGAACTGGATACTTAAAAAGGATTGTTCAGAAGCAAGTCACATAGCAGGATAATACTAAATTTCCAGTCTCATCACATCTACGCACTGGAGATCGGAATAATGATAAGTATGATTATCGCAAGTCTACGATTTACAGATATAGAATTGTGGGATGAAGAATTTGTATAAATTGACTTTGATGTTTCTCGGAAATGCATATCCGTGAGAAGCCGGTGGCTGGATGCGGATTATGCACGGAAAATCAGGATGAAGAAATATGCAAAAATGTGGATATGTCTGCTTTCCTGCGAATATCTCAAGAACTACTTATCATCCAGGGTGGACTGTAGTTTCGACCTCGCCTAGGTCTTATCAACATTCCCTGTGGGAGTCGAACCATAACAGTGAGGCGGCCAATCTCGCCACATTGCCACAAGCGCCCTTGGGTCACAGGGCAAATGTGAATTTCTAGGAGGGTCAGACATTTCTCCATATCATATTCTTTGGTGGAAGTATTAATTAAGCAGTTATATTTGCTCTGACGATCCACAATATTAAACAATATGGGGTGAATTCATCTCATAACTGATTTACTGGTAGTCTCAAAACCCTACATATAAACGAAAATTAACTAATTTCTTAGATTGTCATAACAGATAATATTTTGCTTAATCGATAATCCCACTAAAGAATATGATACGGAAAAATGTCTGGCTTTCCTTGAAATTCACATCTGCTCTGTCACCCAAAAACACTTGTCGCAATGTAGCTTAGTGATTAATGTATCAAGATTATACGCTGCTATTTCTTGGTTCGAGTCCCGCTGAGAGTGTTGATAAGACCTATGCGAGGTCAAAACTGCAGTCCATCCTGGATAGGAATACCTTTTGGGAAAGCAAGGCTATGTGCAATTTAATGAAAATTTCAGCTTTACTCATATCATTGTGATAAAATTCTGCTATTAGTCCTTTATCATCTTAATCGAAATAGGGTGAATACATCTGATATAACTGATTTACTCGTAGTCTCGAAACCATCTTTATAAACGGAAATAGAAGAAGTACCTCATGTGATGAAAGCACGATGAAACACAATATTAAAGAGGCCTTGCTGAAAGAAATTTAATGAACAGTGGATAGTAAGAAGGTGGGATTAACGATAACTTTGCTCTTTATCTAAGAAAACGCGGATCAAGCAGGGTCAGGGCAAAACCAGCAAAAAGGAGGCGCTTACCTCTAGGACATATCGTTAATCAGAAGCAAATTGATTGCAAAGAGGAAATGATCAACCAGCAAGATTAGAAGCGGATCTCCTGAGTCATGAGGACGATTTATATGGTAGGTCTTTATCCGACCAGCAAATCCTGCAAGTTTAGTGATAGCCGAGGCAAAATAAACAAGCAGATGTGAAATGGCCCATTAGACTCGCTAAAAAGGGCACACCTCTAGATAGTTAAATATATACAGATCAGAAATTGCCCTAGCAAGGGAGTGATATAAGAGGATAAGAGGTAGGTATTTGCATCAGGATAGAAGACGTGATAGCACAACTATTATGTAGAAAGTTGGTCAAGGGATTTACTTCATTTGTCTCTTAAACGAGTTGCATCTTGACGCTAGGATTGGCAAGACTTATTGACGATGATGGCGAAACGTCTAGGAATGCTCCAATTTCATGCTCTGACGCTGGAACTTATCATAATTATTGTGCTGAGGACTTCATACAAGGTGCATTCAATTAGGTCGCCCTGACAAGAGTACTAGGTTGAGAAGCCGAGGTCAAACTACTTTATTATTATTATTAATTACCAATTTTACATCCTTGTCCATCTTATATAATATAAGCATATAATATATATAATATAATATAATATTAAGTATATGTATAGTTTCTTTCATATTGCTAATTTAACATAGGAATCACTCTGACTTTCTCATTAAGAATCAAATTTCCTGCTCACTTCTTCCAATATTATAAAGCTGTTACTCTAACTGGCTTTATCTGCATTTACCTAGGTATGGTAAAGAATTTCATATTGCCGCACACTCTTAAATTATGATACTTATTCTAAAATATCCATTATCATCTATCAGAAGGTTTGTTACAATAGGCATTTTTCTCTACCTTCATTTATCTTTCGTTTATCATTTTAAATGTATATTTAAGCTAAAATTTAATGTAATTTACTATTTTCCAGTGACATAGATAACTTTAGTGAGGATAAATTACATCAAATATCAACTATACAAATGTCTAAGCACTAACCGCCAACTTATCTCTTCCGCACAATGTAAACAGTTTTAAATTGAGTTCCTAACACAGATTCAAGCACGGTTTTAATATTTGACCCACAGACTTCCTCTGAACTTAATCTTTCTAGTGTTGGTTCGACCTTGTTTTCGCAATTCTTTCGGAGCGTCAGGGAGACCTTGTGGAATATTATAGTCCTGTGTCCTCTGCCATATTCTACATGATTTCCAGCATCGGACCATTGACTTGGTAAAATCCCGAACGTCGGCATCGTCAGTGAGAGGTACCACAGAGACAGAGGTACCACAACACAGAGTTACAACTTATTATAGTGACAAGTGAAGGCAATGCTCTTAACCAATTTTCTGTTCAACCGCTTTGGCATCCTTCCTCGCCCCTATTTTTTGTTGTACTTTCTATTGCAGAATCTCTTTCTTTCAACCACATTTCATATGGCCCATCTACCCATTTACACAATTCTGTGCTCTTATTTCCTCCAATGTCTCATAAGAGTGTGTCGCTATAATTGGATTAAGAGAGGCATGATCATCTTCACCACCGGTTCTAGATAGTGTTTTCAGGCCTCATGACTATCATTCAGCACCTATTCTTCTACACCGCTTGTCAATTGACATCAAAATCACTGCTTGAAACCTGGCCGCCTAATAGCCTTCAATTCCCTTCCCTGATTACGCTATTTTTAAGGAGTTAGAGCAAGTGATGCCCATGCATGGGAAGCTTCCTTTACCTAGGTGTAAAACTCAGGATTCAGATTATTACGCTTCACTTAACCCACTTATAGCTAAGCACCCTTAGGCGACATTGGAGGAACCGAGAGCACAGAATTGTGTGAATAGGTAAATGGGCCATATGAAGAGGGGTTTAAAGAAAGAGATGCAACACTAGAAAATAGAACTAAAAATTGAGGCAAGGAGTGATGCCACAGCAGTTGAACAGAGAAGTGGTCAGGGAGATTGCTTTCACTTGTCACTTTGATAAGTTGTAACTCTGTGCTGATGGTGGCAAATCTCTCTGACGATGCCGGCAAAACATGACCAAGTCAATGATCATGTGCTGGAAATCATGTATAGCATGGCAGAGGACACATGACTAGGTACCTTCCACAAGGTCTCCCTGACGCTCTGACCAAGTTGCGAAAATATGGTCGGACGAACACTATAAAACTTAAGGAGACTGCAATCAAGTAGAGGACCAAACGATCTTGGTCTCTTATGTCTACGAACTTATTCTTCTAAGTATATTTTGTAGCACACCAACAAGCATACGATGCCCTTATTTGCCTCCTTGATTTTATAGTTAGACTTATATTTCAACTAGGATTATCCTTTGCGATTGAGCCCATTATGCAATTTCTTATGAATGTTAGATATTTTTATGACCAGTACCAATAATATGACGAAATAGCATTTTCAGATTTTTCAGATTTGCTAATTCTATATGTAGATTATACATTTCTTTCATTACCTTGATGAGTTAATATTAATACATATTGTTGTAAATTTCTAATCTAACAACGCATTTGCTTTAATAATAAAAAGGGATACATGCAAAGAATCAAGCTCGTAAAGGCCAAATATTGCTGACTTGTGGATAATTTCTGTTTTTTTATTGATATGATATCTTTTCCTTTTCATACTGACGACATGCTTGAAAATATCCATGCATCAATGCTTTACTCCTAAATTTGTATTATGTATCCAAAATGGACTTTAGCACAAATTAAACAGCTTAAAATGGAGTCTGACACATTTTACTAAAGTTCTTTAAACTATTGGATTCTTGCTCAAATGTGTTCAAATTGAGCCCACCTTATATAACCTAGCTAGTGGGTTGCCGATAGATTCGGAGGTGTCATCATGAAAATAGCACAAAATTTACATTTTACTTGACCTCTGGTGTGAAGTTCACTGTTATACCTCGAGCTTGTTACTCAGATTTATTTAAATGTCTGGTGCCATTAAAGTATCTTAATGATTAGAATTTTCATTCCAATTTCTACCGAATGCAGTTTTGGCAGTATTCATTCATTTTTTCAGGCTTCCGTGGCCGCCAAGCGCTTAACAACCTTTTTTCTGCGCAGTGAGCTTAATGCCTGCTCGGTATCGAGGGAACCAACGCCGGGCGTTGCTGCTGTAATTGAACGTGGAGTATTTGCTTGGGACCCCGAGGACGAACCTGTTCTGCACAAGTAAGCTCTATAGAGATCATCTGGCCGTTTTTATACATATATGCATTTGTTTAGACCTAGACTGTATGCGCATGGGCATCTGGATATTATCATTGCTAATGTATTTATCTTTTTGTAAGATGCTGTTCTGATGTATTGCGCTCTAAACCATGCATTGTTTTCTATTTTATCAAATCTTTTTTATCGGTACATACCCGCTCTAATGTCTATCTTTTTTCTACCCTTTGTTTTGCCCTTGCTTTTTGTCTTGGGCATATTTCCCCTCCTATGTTTCTTATTTTTATCTTGTTATTTTTCCTTCTAACTAAAATGCTATCTACTTGTTTTCTCTATTAACACAACTTTATTACCTATATCTATATCATTCTTTTACTTGTTTTAACTTTTATAGTGTTTCGATGCATTTCCCGGAAGGCCAGATGACTGCTATTGTTGGGCGTGTTGGCTCTGGTAAATCTAGTCTTCTGCAGGCCCTGCTTGGTGATATGGAACAATTCGCAGGCAGAGTAAATGTCACGGTGAGTTAGCTCTATCTGCTTTTGTGCTTCTAATTCCTTATATGAGATGTATTCATCCTATTTCGTTTAAGGTGATGAAGGAGTGGTAGTACAATTTTCGCACAATGATATGAGCAGAGCTGACGTTTCCATTGAATTTCGCATAGCCTTGCCTTCCCAAAAGTTGTTTTCATCCAGGGTGGACTGCAATTTCTACCTCTCATAGGTCTTACCAGCAACCCCAGCGGGAGTCGAACTGTGACAATGAGGCATGTGAGCTTGACACGTTAGCCACTCGGCCACATTGCCACGAGTGCCCCTTGAGTCACAGAGCAGATGTGAATTTAAAGGAAGGTCAGGCCACTTCCAATATCGATAAGACAAATGCATTTTTGCTATACCAATCGACTACGTTAGTTATTTTTCGTGTATAAGTAGAGTTTCGAGACTATCATGCATCTCATATAACTGATTTACTACTAGTCTCGAAACTCTACTTATATGCGAAAAATAAGTAATTTAGTAGATTTTCATAGCAAATATAAGTTTGATTCACCGACAATCCCAACAGAAAATGTGATAGGTAAATTTTAAATTCTCACCTTTCTTGTGGCCCAAGTGCACTTGCGGTAATGTGGCACAGTGATTAGCGTGTCGAGCTTACACATACACTGTCATGGTTCGACTCCGCCTGGGTGTGTTGATAAGACCTAGGCGAGGTCGAAACTGTAGTCTACGCTAAATAAGAACAACTTTTGGGAAAACAAGGCTATTTGAAATTCAATGGAAACGCCAGTTCTATTCATATCATTATTGGAAAAGTCAACTATCAGTCCTTCATCATCTTAAACTGATCCGGATGTTTACACATCATATTCCTTCATCTTTCCTATGTAATATAATAATATGCGATATTCTTTTTGTTTTAAAATAATCTATATTCTGCTTGTAATTAATTTTGGATAAAATTTCATGCTGCCAAATACATTATATTTTTTTCTTATTCATATTAATCGCGTGGCTTAATTTTAACTGTTTCATAAATTAATAATTACCTTCTATTTATATGAATAAACATGTGCCATATTTGCACTTGATATATACCTTTAGATGAACACTTACTTGGAGAAAAACATCTATTATATTAACACTGTGCACCCCTCTAATATGATATTAAAGGGATGGATAATTATTCAGGGTGAGCCAAAATAAGGAGAAAGCTTGATTTTGCATCTAAATTTACGGCTCCATTCATACAAAAATGTTGTTATTTTCCAGACCATACTGCAATTTAAATCTTCTCAGCCTTAGAAGGAGAATATGAGCCCTGAATTTATCTAATGTTAATGCATATTTATGAAATCAATCCTTTCTCCTATCTTATTTAATGATCAAGATTTATTGTTTTTTTATGCTTTTCTTATGACGAGCATTCATTTTATTTTTTCCCTCTATTTCACACATCCTCGCAAGAAATACTTATTGTAATGCTGATT